GACATCTGAAAAGGCAATCTTACGTATGAAGATGACAATGCATCAGCTGGATCCAGATGTCGTCCGGTGGGGTCTTCACCACCTCATAGATGTTTGCCCTGTAGCCGATGAACGCTCTCCACAAACAATCACTTGTTATGAGGAGAACATGTCCAGAACAGACTCTGTGAAGGAAGGTTTTTGTGAGAGGGAAAATTCTGTGGTGGAGAATGATGAAGTAATAGCTCAAGCTCTTCAGGAAGAATTATCGAAGCTTGCTGATGCGGAGGCATCTGGATCTTCGACTTTTGAGGAACAAAATCAGAAGGCATCGATTCTTGCTCAGGATTGGCTTGGTCCTTCAAAAAGGCACACGAGTTCTGGTATGTAAAGTCAAATTTCCACATGGGCACTTCTGGTTTTTCATGTCTCTGTGGCTACAACAATTTTGTTTGCAGATTGTCAGAGTAATTTAGGAGAGGCAGGAAAAGATGGAGCAGTTATATCGGAACTTGAAAATTTGTCAATCGAGGATAAAGATCAAGATCTCTTACCAGAGATGGACTGTGAATTAGCTCTTGATGGTGAAGTTGGCAAAAGGCTGAATCAAATGGTTCCGGTCCCTGTAAGTTTTGGCTTATTGGTTTTGGTCAAAGATTCCTTTAATATACAGAGGCATAACAGCAAAAATACAACTCTTATTCTTACCTTTATTACCAAAAGTTTAGTTTTCCTTAAAAAGATAATCCAAATAGATGGTAATTGTAGCTTGTGCATCTCTTATTCAGTGATGGATCACAGTTTTTATTACTGACTTGGGTTTTTAACCTTCTTTCTTGTGACTATTGCAGCATGTTCCTAAAATTAATGGAGAAATACCATCTGTTGATGAAGCCTCATCGGATCATGAAAGGCTTTTGAACAGGTCTTTGATGCCGTGCTGTATATATTCCTTTGCTCGTGAATTATTTTTTATATATAAATTTGCTAATTTGTGATGGCTTTTTTGACTGGTTGTTTAGTTACTTTCTGTAACTTGTATCTATACGATTTCTTGGAATATTCTGAAGTTAAGTTTCTTGTTCTCCCAAAGTTAACATGATTTTTCTATCTTTTGCGGTGCTTCGTTTTTTATTTTCTGGAAATTTAACAATTTAATAACAAATGTAAGTTGTAGTTGGTATGGTAAAAACGTTAATGAACTTTCCGGATAGATTTATACAATTGCCTGTTTTGTAAAATACATGCACGTTATTACTCAAGCATCAATAAACAGCAATTCTAGTTAACTCAAGCTTTTTTGTATATCAGATTACAGTTATATGACTTGGTCGAACTCAAAATTTCGGGAGATGGAAATTGTCAGGTTTGTTTGTTCACATCAACGTACTTTACCTGCATGTTGTGATGGTATTAAGTAATTTCGAAATGCTTGATGCTTGATATTTTATTGGCAAAATTGCATTTTTAGTCCTGCTGGTTTTTAACGCCATAGCAATTTTAGACCCAAGATTCCAACATTTCGTCTTTTGATCCTGTGATTTAATATTTTGCTGCACTTTCATTCCTCAAGGGACTAAAATTGCAACAAATTCTCAAATTTTCAGATTTTCAATTTGCAATTAAAGTCCTGTAATTTAAAATTTTGTTGCAATTTTAGTCGTGTAATGTATTGGCAAAAAGTTGGAACCTTGGGACTAAAACCTACAAGACTAAAAATGCATTTTTTTTCCTATTTTATTCTATTTGCAGTATCTTAGTAACTTTATTTATTTTGATTTTTTTCCCTTTAGTTCCGGTCATTGTCGGATCAGATATATCGGAGCCCAGAACATCACAAATTCGTGAGAGAACAAATCGTGAACCAGGTTTGCTTTGTTATTATTTCTTTATTAAGTTATGGTCCTTGCCAATAAAAATTCGATCTTTTTCATTGCATAAAACATTTATTTTTTCAATGTTATGCCAACTTTCAGCTGAAGTCACGAGCTGAGTTGTACGAAAATTATGTCCCCATGGCTTATGGTGAATACGTGAAGAAAATGAGCAAGTATATATATGACCGTTCTATTTTATTAGCGTATAAATTTCGACAAATGAGGGTTAATCGTTTAATTAAATTTGCATTGACTTACAGAAACGGGGAGTGGGGGGATCATGTCACATTACAGGCTGCGGCTGATTGGGTATGATTTTTCGTGCATTTTTATCTTGCTTAGGATTATATCTTTTAACAGTTTTGTCTTCTTAACTAATATGTTCTTATATCATAGAATAGTTTCAGGGTTTTGATACTCACTCATAACAAATATATTATGGAATGTAAAATCTGTAGCTAAGATGAAGATTGACTTTCATCTATAACTAAGCATTACTTCCTCGAGCAGATAATCAGGGAAAAACACGATTGTCGTTTTTTTCTTTTTTTCTTTTTATCCCTTTTAATTCAAGCATTTCTTTATGTTTGGATAAAGGCAGCCCATTTATATTGTTGAACATAAAGTTAGTTCCATTGATTTACACAACATTCGTGTTTGCAGAATTAAAAATAATTGCTACGACCACCAGCAACTTTCTACTTTTCGACTTCTACTGCTGAATTAAAGCTGCCTTATGTTTTTCCAAATTGTAGTTGCTCGGTTCTGGTTTAATCTCTGTTACTTTTTTTTTTTTTCTAATGAATGTGGAGCAGTACGGGATCAAGATTTTTATCCTAACGTCATTTAGGGATACATGCTACATTGAGATTCTTCCTCAAACTCAGAAATCAAACAGAAGTAAGTCGAATAACAGATTATTTCTCTTTAATTAGACATGAATTCGTCTATGGTAATTTTTGTTAAATGGCCCTTATTGGAAATTAAGTGATCCTATCTAGTCGATCGATTAAGTTTCAAATGTGCCTTTGTTCCGCAGTTATATTCTTGAGCTTCTGGGCTGAAGTGCACTATAATTCTATTTATCCTTTGGGAGGTAAACATCATCTTTTAGCTCGTCTATCAGCTAATATGATCAAAGAAACTCTTGATTTCTCATCATCTGATTTGTTTTATTTATTTATTTATTTTTGTGTCTGTAGAATTACCGATTGTGAAGAGCAAGAAAAAGAAGCGATGGTGGTGGTAATTCCGTTTTCCGGTATTTTCCACCAAATTTCGAAAAGAGGAGAAGCTTAGTTCAATTCTTCTGTGTTGTGGATTTCTACTTTTATTAGACAAAATCATAGGATAATAGAAAGGAGGAAAAGAAGATGAATGCACATAGCAATTTTTGGTGAAAAGTTTCTCTCTTCTTTTATGGTCACTTCTCATTTTTTACCCACTGTAAATAACTCCACATTTAATTTTATCTAATTTGTAAATTATATTAGATTTTTGAGAAGCCTTGATGAGTCAGAAATTATGTTTGATTTAGTGGTTTATTTTAGCCTTCATATTTGTGTGCAAGCAACCTATTTTCGACTGAGATTATCATGTAAGGTTAATTTTCCTGGAAATTATTGTTAACAGAACAGCAACCTAAGCCTTGACTCAACAAATCCCGGCAGCACATGAGTTGCTCGTGCGTGATTTCCGACGAAAATGATCGATCCTGATCAAATTTGTTCTTAAATTGTCGGAAAAACATATTCAGTAGACCAAATTTGTTACTGTGTACAATAAATTTGTACGAGTTTGAAATGCTCAAGCATTGGCTCGTTTGGTTCGATTACAACACTGCATGCAACTGAGCAAGGAAGATAAAAGGGTACACATTAACCATTTCAAAGAGAACATTCATATTGAAAATTTCCAGTAGAAAAAAAAAAAAAAAAAAAAAAAAAAAAAAAAAAAAAAAAAAAAACTAAAAAACTGGTAAAACGTAACTCTGATAAAGATTGTAAGAATGTCTTCTGTGTTTGGTGGTCATTATTTCCTCACAAAGCGCAAAATCCTATGTTACTACCGGCTACATACACAACAAACCGAAGCCTCATGCGAAACATAATGGACTCCGCCTTTCCTTACAGAAGTTCTTCGGTCTTTGCATACAATTGGATTATTTCAAGAGGAGTTGGAGGAAGATTGCCCGATGTGCCTTTCTGCAAAGGAAAAAATCATCGTTAGATAAGGGTCGGTTTGAAAAATTATGGTTCGGTTAGGGTAAAAAGGAAGAAGAGTTTTAGTGTGCCGAGATGGACTTACCTCCGGTTGCAATGAGTTTTTCCACACGGGATACAATGTGTTTGCCGTAAGTGTACTTCTTGAGTGCGGTCAAGTGAACTTTGATTCGGGAGAGAATTAACTCTCGACTCTTGTCATCACACGTCTCAAGTACCTTCTGCACGACATAGTTTCCGAAAGGATCTTTCATCATAGCCTGCAAAAGTTCGCGATTCAGGGGAATTATTTTGTAGACTTTCCATTATAGTAAGATTATAGTAAGACTATGTTTGGTAAACCTAGCTGATAGCTTTTAAGTGGATTTCGAACTTATAGCTGATAGCTTATGACTTATGGCTGAAAAACTAGCTTATATGATAAAAGTATTTAGTAAAATTAGCTGATAAGCTAGCTGAAATAAAAATTTCAACGGGATTATTTGAAAAGCTACACAAAAAAACTTATGAAATAAACTCGAGCTTTTAAAAAAATAAAAAAATAAAAATAAAATCCGTCCTACCAAACCAAGCTTATAAGCTAATCAAATAAGCTATAATTTAGCTTATATGCTTACCAAACACAACCTAAGTCCCGAGTCACAAGCAAACTTATTCATGAAAATACGATTTTTAAGACCGATTAAGCAAGAAACCAAATGCTTTAGGTTGTGAACATAATGTGACACACACCTGCAATGGTTCGTTTTCATCAGTTGAGCCGAGCATTTCATTCACAAGAAGTTGGCGCTCTTCCGGACCACCATATATCAGGCACTTCTCGATAACATTAGACGCGAATTTCTGCTGACTCATCATCACAATCTGACCAGCGAGCTTCCCGATTATTGCAGAACGCTCCTGTGGCTTCCCGTGTTGCACAACATGCTGCACGAATAATACAAGGTTTTATAGCATATTCACGAATCTTTTGATCGACCATTGTAGACGGAAAAAATGCAATGAAACCACACGAAAAAAATGTACCGGTCAAGATTTAGCTAATATCATTCGTCTCAAATTACCTGAATAACATAATTTCCATATTGATCTTGAGCTAGCTTACAGACAGAGCTCATTATTTCACCCATAATAGTTTCTTGGGTTTTTGGATCATCACAATGCTGAAGAACCCTCTATTAGGAATTAAAAAACAAAAAAAAAAGTCGGATCATATACATTGTGAATTACATTACTATACGATTTCCGACAAAAGAGAGAAAAAAAGAAAAAGAAAAACACTTTTAACCTGAATTACACGACATCCGTAAGGATGCGTGGATAAAGTCACGACTTGTCCCAAAAACGGTGTTATAATAAACTTGATGCGATCTTGAGGAACACGCTCGATGCATTTCTGAATGACGTGATTACCGTTTTGATCATGAACACATTTCATGATAAAGCCATCGAGCTCTTTTACCATCTCTGTCTGAAGCTCGGTATCAACTACTTCCAAAGCCTGTAATAAAATGAGAATCTATAAGCTTACCTTATTTCAAGACACAAGAACTGAGCTTAGACAACAACATTAGAGAGAATAACGATAAATCCAAAGACCTTTTGTATAACTCTGCAGCCATACATTTGTAGAGTGAGAGGCAAAACATGACCAATCAAATGCCGTGCTAACTCTTTGCGTTGGCTTTCAGTACCGTGCTCAAAGAACTGTTTATATATCATGGACGTGAAAATAAAATAAAATGAAATAACAATAAGTAGCCTCATGAGCTTACTTATCTTTCCAAACAAAGATTCTAAGTGTGGAAAAAATAAAAATAAAAATGTTACCTTTTGTATGACGTAATTTCCAAAGACATCGATCATTAAGGTACGAGCGCTAGGAATAATCTCCGTGAGTATCTTTGTTTTTTCTTCAACCGTTGCAGTCTCCAACTTCTGCTGAATGAATCGACTTCCGTATTGATCAGTACTGTATCATAAAGGAAAAATTTTTAAAAAAAAAATATGAGAGAAGATTTATATAGTTTGCTGTTTACTTAAATTTCACTCACAAGAAAACATTTTTGTGACTATTTTTTTGCCACAAACATCCTCTTTTAGCTAATAGAACTTTTAGCTTCTATTTGCAAAACTATATAAATTTCTGATTCTCACAGCTATTTTTTTGCTTTATCGATACCTGAACTCGACAACATGACCAAGAATATCCGAGAGTTCCAAAGATTTGCTCTTATTGTTCTTGAGCATTTCCAAGAGATACTCGAATCTTCCTTTTGGACTGCTACTTCCACTCGATTCTCCCTTTTTATTTTTCGAACTCGAGGGCGATTTAGTAATTTTCTCCTTTTGACATGTCAGCGTGCCTCTCGAAGCAATTGCAGATGGGCTAAGTGCAGCAGCTTTCACCTGTAGGAGGAGCGACTCGTATTGCTGTCTCCTTTGAAGAAGCAATGCCTCGAGATAAGCTTTCTCTAAAGCTCGTAAATCATCGTGACTATGCGGAAAATTTGCCGGATGATGATGTGGCACTTTCGGCAAGTATTGGATTTGGTGAAATCCCGGTGGGGCAGAGCTTCTCGAAATCAATCCAGGCATGTTAGAACCACCGGGATTCGAGCCTGAAGCAAATTCTAAAACCATTTACAACAAAAAGAAAAAGAAAAAAAATATATATATATGCAATCATAGAAGAAGGAAAAAAAGTAGAATTTCCAAGAGGAAAAAAAAAAAAAGAACCTGCAATAATATCAGAAGGATTATTATTATGTTGGAACTGAAGAAGATTACTAGTCGATAAAGTCCTCCTCGGATACTCGTTCGCCCTTCTTAAACTAGCGTCATTCACGAGATTTTCCGGCTGCTGACTCAGTTTATTACCCGCCAATATATTCATTTGCAGAGCAGCAGACAAAGGTAGATTTTCAGGTTGAAAATATCCTCGAGAAGCGCTTAAAGCGGAAAGCGAGGCAGCAATATCAGCAATTTCAAAAATGCTCGGCGAGGAGGAGAAACTACTCGACTCGGGAGGAGGTTCCGATTTTGTCTTCCCCATAGAATCCGCCACGTCAGCAACCGAGCTTTGGCTAGAAGCACGTGAAAGGTTCGATTTCGCAGGTTGGCCACGCCCTTCCTACAATTCAAAAATCAAAACATTTATATATACGAATCGAATCCAAGTGAAAAAAAAATATATATATCAAGAAAATCTAAAATTACCTGAACTATATCTGCAAAGCTTTTCCTTCGAGCTCCCATACCCGAACTACTACTCGGATTCTTCTCGAACGAGTCGACTGAATTTTTCCGCGATAGGTTCCTCAGAGCCGTTTTTCTCAGCTCCATCAACTCATCGTCGCTCTTTTTGACAGACGAACCCAAACCCGGCTGCATTGTAAAAAGAGACGAGCCGAAACTACTACTAACATCACTCGAATTTACGCTCAAACCAAATGCGGCCCTAATCCTCTGCGCGACCCTCCAATCTTCTTTCGATAGGGTTGGTGGGGGTAGCCGAGGATTGAGATTCTCATGCGAGTAATAATATTCTAAGTAAGCCGGGTGGGACCGGATTTCGTCTTCAGACAAAACGCTTAAGGTAGCGCTGATGTTGTTTCCGGTTTCGTAGATTTTCGCAAAATCGGGATGGTTGAAAAGGCTGCTGGCTGAGGCTAACGCGCCCTCGACAGTCGGGGGCGCGCTTCCGCACCTGTTGTCGATTTCCGAGTCGCGCTCGGGAATCCGAGCTCGGTTTTGATGTTTTTGTAAAAGCAGCGACTCGAGTTCGCTTTGTAAGTCCGAGCCTCTCATATTGTGTAGAGATAAAATAACACCTAAAATCCGAACGAACTTACATTCGCAGCCGAACGAATGCTTTCCCGAACAAAAAACACACAATCGAGCAGATCAGATCAAGGCGAAACGCGTAAACAAACAGAACAATGTGTGACAGGAAAACAAGAATCACCGAAAACATGGAAAAATTGAAAGCGGCGCACAAGTTAGCTAACAAGACGATCTGAATAACACACAATTGAATGTTGGAAATACGAAAAACTCGATCTTTAGAAACAAGAACACATAAGAAGAACGTTCGAATCTCGAATGAACGAATGAATGAATGATGGAGCTTGAGAGAGAGATAAGGAAACTCACCAGGAGGATGAAATGTGATCTGAATCAAATGAATGTTGTTGTTGTTTGTTACGTGCATGGCCAACCAAACAAAGGAATCTACTCTTCAGATCTTAGCAAATAACCATATTCACCACATATATATATATTTCATTATTTATATTTATATATATAGGGGAAAACAAAATTAGATAAAACTAATAATGAAATAGGTTATATGTGGTGAATGTGGCTATTTGCTAAGATATACATACATATACGGGAAATTCTACGGTTCCGTTATGGAACCATTCCCTCGGGATTTGTAACCGTTAAATCAATTATCCATGACGGTTACATGATGATCTAATGATTACTTTGAGAAATGTTTTTTTTTTTCAAACAATTTATTGTTCTTCTGTTTAATATTATTTGCTCAACATTGGTAAAATATAATTAAGAATTGCTTATTACTATACGTTTTACAACAAAATTCAGGGTTTATAATCTCACATATTATTAAATTATTGTCATCAATTTTAATCATTTCTAAATCTTATATTCATTGACGATTTCAAAATTATTTCATCTTCACAATAAAACAAATCTTCGTATTATTCATCATTTATTTAATTTGTAATGAACGTACACTCGTGATTGTTTTTGGGGTTTTATTTATTAATCTCTACTTCTACATGCTCTTGTGATGATATACGATCATCTACTGTTCCACTTTCATGTTGTTATACAAAACAAGCCGCCTATAAGCTAGGTTTGACTCGGCTCAGCTCGATTAGGCTCGAAATATAGTTTTTATATATTTTTCTATAGTTCAACTTATTAAAGCTCTAGTTTGACTTGAGCTATGTTCGTTACTTTTGACAAACAAGCCGAACTCGAGCTCGAGTACTGGCTCGCTAAATTAAGGATTCAAGTTGAGCTCGAGCACCATGAGCTCGGCTCGACTCGTTTACAACCTTAACAATACTATACCCTTCAAAGTCTCGGATTTTGATAAGGCTAGCAAAATTATTGTTCATAAGAAGCTCAAAATCATCAAAGTATTCCTTGGATCAAAGTGTCGCACTTTAATTGTACCCTGAAAATTTTTCTTTCTAAATGCGATTTTCGTTTTCTATCATGTCTCGAACCTCACTAACTACCAAATGCGCTTTATGACTTCCGATCACCTCCGCCTGTTTCTTGCTGTCCCTCCAAAGCTAGCACCATTTACAGAGAAAAAAAAATTGAACTCAGATTCTCTTCGAAGTCTTTAAGAAAAAATAAATAAATAAATAAATAAATAAATAAAAATGGTTCGTGAGGTGTACCTGTATCGTAGGCATCTTCTGCTCGATTTTTCATATTCCAAGACAAAAAAAAAAAAAAAAGTCGTACATTAGTCCATGTCTGAATTCCAGACAGTTTGTACGACAAATATGGTGAGAGATAAAGAAATGTGTTCTATAGAAGGTGAATCAAAGTGCCTACATGATTTCACATTTCAATTCAAGCATTTTCAAACAAATACAAAATGCCGGATATTCGGATAATACAGAGAAATATGGGGCGGAACAATCTTCGAGCAGAGTATTCGGTAGGCAATGATTTCAAATGGCATTAAATTTACTTAGTCTTTCGAATCTACTATAACAAGTCAATGACTCGGAAGAATAAAATCTACATAAACTTACAGTAACTCCAGCACGAACCACGAGCTTATGCGGTACATTATTGACATCAACAGAATAAAATCTCACTCTACATTCAAAAGGTAAAAAAAAATAAAAATGATGTTAATAGCTTTGGCCAAACTACTTTCGAGAATAATTTCTGCAATTAGTCATGTAATATTTAGGATGGAATCAGAATGGTTGTGTAACAATGTAAGAGATTTCATTTTGGTCCAAATCGGAACAGCTAAAATCTTGAAAAATGATCCTCCACCGAAAATTAAAGTGAACTTGAACCAATCTAAAAAGTAAAAATAAAGAACACACCTTGGATTATAATCAGCCGCTAACTTTTCAAGCTTCGGTTTCAAGTAAATACATTTCCTACACCAGTTTGCCATCCTACAGGTCAAAATACTTTACATAGTTAAAACAGGAATGCATAATAAGCCTAAGTAGTTAAAACATGAATGCATAATAAGCCTAAGTATGAGCAGAACAGTGATATCTGTAGAAAATTAAATACTGCATAGTGCATAACACGGTTATAAATGGCCGTAGTCATACATATCTGACATTAACTAAAGATAACCACTGTAAATAAACTAGAATGACAATTTTAACAGATGGTAGAAAACACAGTTACGACAAAATTACAGAGCATAATGAACTTTTTAACTAGCAAATATTGTGAAAAAAAAAAAAGACTCCTCGAAATTTTTAACCCAGCAGCAGCAAGTTGCCTCCACACCAATCGATTCTACCATTATGAAAGGCACATTTGTTTTCTTTCAATCAAACACAAATCCTTTCCCATTCTTCCTCTCAAAACACGAACAATACACCCGAAATTTCCGGATTTTTTTCCCCAATACGTAACATTCATCTCTTACTATGGAAAACCTTGTTTTTTTCATATTAAGAATGCACAATATGAACTCCTTAACTAAAAAATGAAGTCATTTTCGTCTTCAAGAATCTTCTCGAACCACTTGTACACAGCCTTATCTACGAAAAATAGATTCATTTTCGTTTTCCCGAATCTTCATGAACCACTTGGACAAAATTCACACAAAATCAAAGGAAAACCTTTCTTTCCTACTGGACTGCGCAATTTGAACACCCTATATACGAAAAACGAACTCATTTTCGTATTTTCAAGTATCTTCACGAACCCCTTGTACACAGCCCTATCCAAGACTCCATTACACATGAAAAAAACTTATGTCGGCCTGAATTCTTAAATCTGCATTCTGCAACTATTCAAGAAAGATTGCAACTTCATTACAAGCATAACTTCTAAATCTCATAAATAACACTTAAATTTCTGAAAAAACAGTGCGTGGGGCATCGACTGTGTCCTGCATATTCTATAGCTCAAAACCCCAACACCACATCATAAACCTCAGTTAAACCTTAGCAATCTAGTACATATCAATCCAAAAGCACAGAAACAATAGAAAATAAATAAAAAAAAATCATATACACATAACAGTAATAATTATAGCTTAAAGTACCAAACTTATAAACATTAAAAGAAAGCCCACATCAATACACACCAAATTATATATTAAAAAACAATAAATTTCAAATATTTCAGCTTAAGAACATCACAGACCTAACAAATTAAAAAAGAAAAAAAGAAAACAAGAAACCCATATCAGACCATAAGACGACGAGTGATTCTTCGAGCTGCTGCGCCTCGGCGATAACACGATCGAAGTGGGTTTCGCTTGAAATGGGCTCCAACTCCATTGAAAGAGGCATGTTCTCGAGACATGGCTGCGCGATCGACCCCCCTTCGCCATTGTTGCTCTGTGATACTAATCTAGGGCCCTTTATGTGATGAAAACTAACCCAATCAACAAAATTTGATTTCTTGGTGCTGAAAAGGGGTTTTCTCTTGGAATCAATGGGACGCCATGGATTGTGTGATGGGATTTTTGAGCCATGGGTTTTAACGGACGGCAGAATTTCCATTTCAATAAATGTGCGTCAGTGCGCGTGTTTGTTTCATGGTTACTGTGAAGGAGTTGAAACGCTGGTCACGAAGAAGGAGAAACATTGACTTTCTTTTTATTATTACTAGTATTATTGCCCGTGCATTGCACGGGACATATTAAAAGAAGTTGACGTCAAAAAACAAAGTATAATCATACAGTTACAAAATTATAAATTATCCAATACTTCTTTATGTTCATGTTCTTTTGGTTCGTAAAAGTTAAATGGCTGTATCGTCACATTATTATTTTTAATCTTTTCATGTTAATAATAAAAAGCAAGAATCAATATAATACTAACCATGATAATCAATAAAACTAAGTGAAAGTGGAATTTGAACAATCATATTAACTTAATATAATTAATCCAGAGCAACAAAAAATTGTGTCATATGTCAATATCAAACATAAATTAATACAGTGAAGAAAGACAGAATTAGTGCGCTAAGAAATAAAAATTTGTTTCTTTAAAAAAAGTACAAACCACATATAAAAATTATACATTCAAATATAATTATTTTTACCATCCTCTTCCTTTTCTTCAACTTCTGAACGTTTCCCACCTCAATCGTGAATTTTGTACTAAAAAAACATAAGTTTGTAAACATTAAAAAAATCGTGGCACTTATGAATAATTCAACCAATTTTTTATTTTTATTTGCATTTTTTTTAAAAAAAAGTTACCTCAAAGTCATGTAAATGTAAAATAAGGCAAAAGACCACTTTGTTTAATTTATGTTGACATCTCTTTCAGTAGTAGGGAAGACATTGATTGATTACCAAATAAATTCAAGTATATGTACCATAATATCTGTTGCAGAATTGTTGTGAAATTAAAGTATCATATGTAGCCTATTTATTTTTATTCAACTGTATGGAATAACCTTATTGAAAGTTGATAAATCATTATTTTTTAACATAAAATAAATATTTTGGTTGTAATAACTACTAATAGAGTATCTCTAACCGTTTTTAAATAATTAATTTAGATTATTTTTGTTGGAGACACAGTTCTTAAATATTTAAATTACATTTTTTTAAAAGAAGAAAAATGAATTTAACACAGGCTAGAATTAAAATTTTAGATCAATTTTATGAAAAAAAATATATATAAAAATTGAAAAAAAAAAGGAAAACAGATTGAAGAAAAAAATGAATCAACACATCCCTATATAAAAAAATATTTCTTTATATTAGTAAAAAATTTATTTGTTAATTGTATAGATACAATAGAATTTTTATGTCGTATCACCATTTTTAGGAAAAATTTAAATTTAACCTAATATTTTATATAAGTCTCATCATATTTTTTAAGTAGGGTTTAAATTTAACCTAATATTTAATGTACATTATAACTAACTCATTCCAATTTGTTTTATACTTATCAAAATAAATAAAAATAGTTTGAAATAACCAAAAAAAAAAAGAAGCTAGAAAAACACTCCACATTTGAAACAGTCTTCACCCCACTTTTACAACTTATTAATAAAACAACTTTTTTTACACGTGGCATGGAGACAACTTTCCATTTATAGTAATATTTAATGAGATCCATTGAATAACTTTCTATTTTAGAAGAAAAATGTTTTGGATGATAAAAAAAACTCTCTCTTCTCTCTCCCGTTTTTGCCCCAAATTCCCAAAACCCTAGTCTCTAATTCCCGATCTGAGAGCCTCTTCACCGGAGCGGGGGGCGCGGCCAGCGGCGGCGCGAGAGTCGATGCCTGCTTTTCCGGTCAGTCTGGTCCCCGACGAGCGGCGGTCCTTCTTCGCGTGGATTGCTTCCTACCAGAGATGCCATGGCGAGGAGTTGGTGCGGTCGCCGGTTTTCTTGTCGGGGGTGCAGTGGGCTGGGCTTGAGGGGGTACTTGGCTTTCGTTTGAGGCTTGGCCGTCGAAATTCCTTTCTCCGGCGACCCTTGGTGCTTGGTCGTCGGAACTCCTCGGCCAGTGGTAGTTCTTGGAGCTGCGACGGGCGAGGGCTTGTGTGGAAGGTCGGGGGTTTGGGTCTCTCTTGGAGGCTCGTTGGTGGTGGGCTTAGGTTGGTTTCGAGTCTCGGACTGGTGTGGTCTAGCCGCCTTTTGGTAGGAGTGTTCCATTTCAGGCCGTGGTTTGTAGCTTTCCTTTTGTGGTTCATTATCGAGGTGTCTTCTTGAGCCGTGCCGGTTCGGTGCTCTGTGCGTCTGGTGGGGAGGGCCGTGTTTATTGTTACTGATTAATTTATTCTATTTTTTAGGTCTTGTGTTGTCAGTGTTTGTGTTTTGTTTTTTCTCCTTTGGGGACAGTGTATTCTCCCTTGGGGACTGTGTATTCTTCTGTCGGGGAGTGTGTATTATC